TGTCAACTGAACTAAACAATTGTTTTCGACTTAAAGGGTTTAATTAAATTATTAAATTAGAGGGTTTTTTTTGTCTTGCAACCATGCATTTAGTTGTTGTGCATTATAGTGAAAAATTCTTCTTAAATATTTGTTTGTTTCCAACACAAGACTGACATATGGCTTCTGAACACCTAATATATTAATATATACATAGAATATGTACATAGAATATCTGGCACAAGTAGTAGAGACTACACTTAAGGTGCGTTTTTCCTTTTCATAATTTGGATGTATAAATCACCGTACCCTTGTATGGAAAAAAAGCAGCTCTGACATGGCCAAACATAAACTTTCATTTTTCACAGAATAAAGGAACTACAGAGGTTAGAACAACATGAGGGTGAGTGAATGACTGCTTTGTTTTCATTTTTGAGGAAACTTTCCCATTAAAGGTGCAATAGGTGATTGTCTTCAGAAACATTTTTTGTTATGCTGATTGAAAGTCTCTTCACATCCCGATAGCAATCATTAAAGGTGACGTATCATGAAAATCTGACTTTTCCAGGTATTAAGTGCTATAATCAGGTCCCCGGTGCATCTTCCAACCAAGGAAACGTGAAAAAGATTAACCCAGTAACTTTGTTTTGGGAAGCCTTTTTCTGCAAGCGTCTGAAAAAACAAGCGCGTCTGATTTCACTCCCTTGGTGACGTGGCAAAGGGATCTCATTATAATATTACCGCCCCTTAACCTGTAAGTTTCCACCCACGGCGCCGTCATTTTGATTTCGCAAGCGACAACGGTGTAGCAGCTCTAATGCCATGGCGAAAGTTTGAGCAAAACATGCTAACTGTTCTGGCTTTGGCTGCACAGATGAGCACAGAACACTATTTAGAGTCCCAGCCTCAGAGGAGACAACAGAGCAGTGGATTTATTGATTTATTTACTGTATATTGCTGCTGCCACACAGATCTAATATAAACATGCGATTTATTTCCCAGCTGTTTGCCTTCACAGTCATAACCGACTGTTTTTGTAACTCGTGTGTTTTTAACGTAAACTTGTGTGTGAATGAGAACTTAGTTTAGTACTCGCATGCTGTGACAGCCGCTTTCTGTCCATGTGCTTTGGATGTGTGCACTCAGAAAACCGTATATCAGAAATTTAAACTCATATGGTTTAAAATGCATGATTTCAGCATGATAAACATGATAATCAGAACCAAAACTGTTTTTAGCAGGTCCAAGCTGTAATGGCGCAGCTCTATTCTGGAAAAGGGGGCGGGGAGCAGCAGCTCCTTTGCATTTAAAGAGACGGGCAAGAAAAACAGCGTGTTTCTGCTTCCACTGAAAATAGTCATTTTCAAAATGATATAATAAATTATCTGTGGGGTATTTTGAGCTGAAACTTCAGACACATTCTGTGGACACCAGATACTTATATTACATATTGTAAAAAGGGGCATAATATGTCTCCTTTAAGTTAAATGGTCTAAATGTATTTATATTCTGTGGAAGGCGTAGGACCAGGAAATGTTCATCCAATCAAAATGCTCGGTCCGTATTAGCATACCTCTGCGCACCCGGTTCGTGCAGACAGGATGCGTCATCAGCGCGTTCACGCACGCTGTGCAGACAGAGCGAGAATGGCAGACAAACATCAACAACCCGATCTTCCTTCCTGGTATTGTAGTACTTTTAAAGTTTTCCTTTGCATTTAAAGAGACGGGCAAGAAAAACAGCGTGTTTCTGCTTCCACTGAAAATAGTCATTTTCAAAATGATATAATAAATTATCTGTGGGGTATTTTAGAAGTGAGCTACGTGCATGAACTGTGTTCTGATCAATATGATCCCTACACAGTGTTCATTGCTCCCTCCTCCCTGAGCAGGGGAAATCCGTTGAAGTTTACTTCACTTCGGAACATGGGCTGGAATTGGGAACCGCTGATGTAGCCTATTGTAGTAATGTTGTCTCTGGTATTCTGGTCTGTGAGCGTAAATGCGTTCAGGGGGCGTGGCTTTGGACTGCGATTGCAGGGTGGGGGGGACGTTCGCTTTCAGTGCTATCAGGCTAAAGTTAGCATTTTCCAAGATCTCCTACTGCACCTTTAATTTGCTAAATGTGTCCACGTTCACAACAACTGTGACTGTTATGTGCCGTGTTTGAGGTTTTCTCACATGGAGCCTACCTGTTCTCTTTCTCCATAGTTGACACATGCTTGCTTAAGAAGACTAAACATGCAGTCCTCCTTTAGTGGAAACCACCACCTCTCTCACAGTGTCCATTGGAAACAACTGAGAGAGGAAGTCAATATTATGATAGGAGGATGTGTTTGGGTGCCGGGGTTTGGATGTGGTCAGACCTCTGTTGTTGTTTGCTTGCTGTGGGAAATTACACTCGTGACGGACATGGCTCTCTGAATGCTGTGGTTTCTTAGGGCCCTATGATTTCTGTGATGTGGAAAATGTAGACGAAATTGAAGAATCCGGTCATTAAAATGGAATTGAATGTAGAATGCTACAGAATTCCACATGCACGTCATCTCCAGAGCTGCAAGATTAACGCCGTTTTTGATAATAAATTTGTATTAAATCATAAATCCAGAAAAAAAAATAAAACAGAATTTTTGAAGAAAACAACAATTTCATAGGGCCCTACTGTAGAACAAATTTAAATAATTAATTTGGTTTATTAGACATGTTTTTTGATTTTTCAAATTAAAATTTTATTGAATTTATTTAAATTGAATTAAATAATTAAAATGTAATCCTGAACAATTAATACAGAAAACATGAAATTTGGGGAAAAATAAAATGGGCCCTAGTTTCTGCTGCATAGGAGAAACAGCGTCTCTGTTTGTGGGTTATGTAATCAGTGATAAACGAAATTCCCCATTTAGTTGGAATCCTGAGAAGGCCTAGTACTTTCCTTGACAGTTGCAATGACCTCGCTTGTCTGAAAGAATGTGAAAAAAAGGACATAAGCCACAAAATAGTTAACATAATGAAGTGCATGTCAGCACATACAGACTTTGGAAAAAGTGAAAGGCAGAAAAAAAAGAGTAAAAGAAAGAGAAGCACATGGTGGGAGAGAAAAGGAGTAGAAAGCAAGATTTTTTTGGATCGCACCTCCCTCACTAGCTCGTTCCTGTCACTGTTTTCCCCCCATTGTGGATTGTTGTTATGGGAACAACTAAAAATCCAGTGATGGAAGCGGTAACAACGGCGTGTGTGGTGGTGAATTTGTGAATTTTAATGATGTAAGACGATCTATTGCAGACCATGAACATTTTAAGGGATTTTCATGCAGCCTGATATATTTTCCAGCTCAAAATCTTAGTTGATTTGGCTGAGGTTGAAGGCCTTAATTCAATAATAAAGATAAATTACTGTGGTGTCTGAGATGTAGTGATCCATAACTACATAAGCTATGTTTTTTTAAGCTGCTGAATCCATGAGAATCCCGCTCTCTGACGTAATTTGACTGAGAGCACGAGCCCAAAGCATGCTGAAGCTGAGAATTTGAAGTGTTCTGTAGGGAAATCTCTTGCTTACTGTGAAACTTGAGCAACAGCGCCTGCGCTACAGCTGTGCAGTAATGTACTACAAAATATTCTGTGGTCCTGGAGCATTTCAGGTCAGCGCTGTGATTAGCACACAAATGTGGAGTAATGTCTCAAGGCTGAAATGAAAATAAACAGACGATCAGGATCAGTTACTGCAAGAGCAAATTTCGACTGTCTTTTTTAATACAGACTCTGCTAACCAGACGCTGCGGTCGATTGGACTTTCTGTACATTCTGTCAAATGACAGAGTGGAGTTCTAGGAAAAACCGTAAATATGAACTGGAGCACACTCTTCACTGTGGGAGAATGTTTATTCCCTCCTCTTTAGTTGTTTCTCTTTCCACTTCTCTTTCTGCTACTTCTCGCTGTCTCCTTTAAATGCGATAGTACAGACAGTATTGCAGATGAGGACCGTATTTGTGTAATTGAAATTTGGAAGGTGTTCAGACTGGCTAAGATTTTCTTCTTTAGTCAGGCATTTAAAGGGATAGATCACCCAAAAAAAAAATTCTGACATGAAAGCAAAGAAATTGTTGAATAAAGTTGTTTTCTTTCAGCACAAAAAGTATTCTTGTAGCTCCATAAAATTAAGGTTGAACCACTGATGTCACATGGACTATTTTAACAGTGTCCTTACTACCTTTCTGGGCATTGAACGTGGTAGCTGCATTGCTGTCTTTGCAGAGTCAGAAAGCTCTCAGATTTCATCAAAAATATCTTAATTTGTGTTCCAAAGATGAACGAAGGTCTTACGGGTTTGGAACGACATGAGGGTGAGTAATTAATGACAGAATTTTCATTTTTGGGTGAACTATCCCTTTAAACTGTTCTGCAAGTTCAGATGCTTTGTTACGTTTGTCCTGACATACAGAGCTGTTTGTTCACAAAGGTCAGATTGATCTCATTAAATGGTCTTATTTGTAGTATTCATGATTGAGACTAATGTTGAATGGTTTTCTCCGGTTGTTTGTACATCTGTTAGTTGTGATTGGCCTTTTTGTGATGCTGTTAAATAAGCAGAGAGTATCTCAATGAAGCATATTGTAATACTTGTGCTCAATCTTCTTAATCAAGTTTCTTTCATGTGCTAAACAAATGAATAAAATCAGCTTCACACAACCATGAATGTTTCTCACTGTCTCTTTTACCATATTGCCAGGCATTTCCTCTTTATCATGTACTAGAGATTTATATGACGTTACAGTTATAGATTAGAAACTCATTTACACTAGCCTTTACCATAATTTGGATTATATTTATGCAGTTCCCTTAACACTGTCTGATGTTTTCTTCTGCTGTCTGACAGTAATCGCATAAAGTGCAGCTGGTCATCCATCATTGCTAAATTACATGATTCAGTATTAGGGAATACAGACCATGTTTTTTAGTCAATCCTGTTTACAGGTCACATTGTACTTTCTGGTCTCTCTCACACGTTTACTTTTTTTCTAGAATCCAGTTATAGTATCAGTCACCCTGCCAGTGAGGAATACGGTGAAGAGGCCGTCCTGTGCGATAAGAGACCTACACCGGACAGCATGACCTTCAGAGGACTGGCTTGAACTTGGACTGTGTTTAGGCAGCATGAACTAGAGAACAACCTCCTGCTGAAGCCATGAGTCACACTGCCATCAACCTCATTTAAACCATAGCGCTGATGTTACTGGATATGTTAAATAGGTCAGGTGCACCTCCATGTGCCACATACTGTTCACAAAAGACTGCATCCATGTGAATTGGTGGTAAATTGGTCTAATGGTGGTAAAAGCTCAAGTCTTCAGGAGTCTTCAGAAAGGGGTCAACCAAGTATTTTTGCATATATGTATACATATATATTGTCATTATTTTTAACATTCATAACAGGTCTCCATGCTCCGTTTTTCTCTGTTTTCCTCTGTTTTGAAGGGTTTGTTTGAGCACAGTATGCACCGTGTAACCCCAGAGTGAACCCAGTGTGTTGCAATAATAAAATGAGTATTAATCTGTGAATGCATTTAAAATCTATGGATAATGTAAAGGTTATAATGCCCTTACGTTTTAATGATTAGGTGACTGTAGATATATAGTGAGATGGTTTAAGTGGGACTAGCCGTTACTCCTCTTGGGCTGAGGATTTTCTCGTGGATCTCTGGTAAAGCACAGGTTAATGGAATTGCTTCAGATCTGGTTTTGGGGATTGAGAAGCCTCTGTTTAGATTAATGTGAGCGCCAGGGATGATGGGAAAGCGGGATGCAGCCAGTGCTCTCTAATAACACTGTGAGGGGTGGGGGTCAACACAGGGCATGCCCAATCTGGCTAGACTGTTTCGTCAGTGGATTCTCTCATAATCCTCTTTCTCTGACTGCCACCGTGACTATGTGACCGCCTGTGTAACAGAAACCATGAATCTCAGACAGCAGGGCAGCTAAAGGGCTTTATGAATTGTAAACAAACTAGCATGCATTATGAATGATTAAATAAATTAAAATCGGCCTAGCAGGGTAGACGTTACCCAAATTTAAAGAACAGTTCTCTAAATATTTCCACCCTCTTGTTTAAATGTCATGTGTTTCCTCTTTTACAGTGAAGAGGTTGTGTATCAGTTATCCGTACCCTCGGCTGGAGGATTCAAATTAGACTGAATTCCTTTGTAAAGTGGTCTCTCACTTCTATCATGGGACATGTTGTACTTTATCGTTTCTGAGTGGTTCTGTCTCAGAGGTCCTGTTTCTTAATGCCAACTTTCTCGCAACTTTTTAGCATTAAATGTAGTATTACATGTTACACATCCTTCAAGGGGCTCCCGGATTCAACCGGCACATGCAGCCTGTGCGTATTTGTTTTGTGACATGCATATTATGCAAAAAGACAAGCTGTTATGTCAACATTTCCTAATTCTGTACAGTTATATCTTGCAGTTAAATCTTGCGTCTTTTGACCCTCACATCCTCTAGTTTTCCAGCCAATTTATTTTTCTTATAATTTTTTTCCTTTGATTTCCCTCCCCCGTCGCTAACACTCTCTGTTCTTTATCTAAGGGCAGCAGGCCAGGCACACGTGTACCAGCTCTCTGAAGAAGGCCAGTTCAGTGGAAACTAGCAAGCAAACACACTGAAAAGGACACACGCTCCCTCAATGTCAGCAAATATTTGGTCACAACTTCAAAGGGAAGTGACAGTCGTTTGAAACTGGGGATGACATTGGGCCGCTATTAGAGCAGGTGAATGCACAAGTTTGCTGTTTAAAATCAATGTGATTGAATCATGGCCATTTATTCTGAGCTTTTTCACTAATAATGATGTACAGTCTTAGCTTTGTTTCATAAGACCAACATGGCAACGTGTTTTTAGAGGCAGGCTGTGATGTAATGTAACAATGTGCTACTGTCACCTGCAAGACCAGCTGTGCTGATGGCTCAGAGAAATTGACTAATGAGGGTCCTGAAGAGAATGTGATACATTGAATAAAGTGTAGATATATAAAGATGGATTGTCACTTAAAGGGATACTCCACCCCAAAATGAAAATGTTGTCATTAATCACTTACCCCCATGTCGTTCCAAACCCGTAAAAGCTTAGTTCGTCTTCGGAACACAATTTAAGATATTTTGGATGAAAACCAGGAGGCTTGTGTTCAGCGGATATTCTCCAAAATGGCACTACGGTAATGCGGAGAGACACAGAGGAGACGAATTGTTGAATAAAGTCGTGATTTTTGTTTTCTTCACGTACAAAAAGTATTCTCGTCGCTTCATAAAATTCAGATTGAACCACTGATGGCAGATGGACATTTCTGACGATGCTTTTCATACTTTTCTGGACCTTTACAGTGTAATTTACTTGGCAGTCAATGTGACCGTCACAAGCCTCCCGGTTTTCATCCAAAATATCTTAAATTGTGTTCCGAAGACGAACTAAGCTTTTACGGGTTTGGAACGACATGGGGGTAAGTGATTAATGACAACATTTTCATTTTGGGGTGGAGTATCCCTTTAAGCATTTTTAGCTTCTGTTCAGTTCTTGCTGTCCATGGAGTGTTCTGAAATCACCCCTCTAGATCATCCTCTGCAGACTGCAGTTTTTCCATGGGTCAGAAATATTATGAAATAGATGGTAAAATATAGAGGTGTGCAGCTTGTTCCCCCTAAAGGCTTCGTTAATAGAGAACAGTACACCAAGCACATTTGTTGGGGTGTAGTGTGTCTGTTGATGGCAATTACTGAAGTTTTTATATGCATTATTTTTCTTGTTGTACATTTAGTTCTGACATTTTGGCTTTTAAACGAATAGTTCACCCAAAATCAGTATATGCAGATACATAGGAATCCATAATGTATGCTTATGAGACAAAGGAGGTCTCAGTATAGAGACAAATCTTTGTCAATTAAAACATTTGTTTTATATTTATATATATATATATATATATATATATATAACACGCGCGCGCGCGC